AAGAGTATTTCATTTGTCTCTTTTTTTTTCTTTTTCCCCTTGACCTCCCCCCGGCCTCCTCTACCCACCTGGTGTTTGTGTACATTGGTTATGCTTATATGCATGTATACAAGTCCTTTGGTCAATCTCTCCCCCTTTTTAAATCTTACCTTTTTAACTCACCTATGGTTCCCAATGTGACCCTATAGACATCTGGCTGTGATAGGAACCTATCGGGTGGTGGGCCAGGCTAACTCATCCCTTTTCCAGGCAAGGGAGCCAAGACTGCTGAAGCTGTCATTTGCTCAGTGCCTCAGTGGGAGCAGCAGCACTCCCAGTACCCAGCACAGCTCCATGCCTCACTCTGCAGGACAAGTCCTTCCTTGGCAGCTGGTCCTCCAGGAAGGATGGATTTCACGTAGATCCCTCTATACAGCACGCGGTGCTAATGCCACCCTGAAAGTACAATGAGAAACTCACCACTAAGGAGCCCCATCTGCCTGCCACTGTCTCCCATTATTCATCTCCATGTGACACCATCTTATATATTCACTGGCTTGCCAATCCCATGTTATGCGTGAGCAGTAAGGTTAGGTGCTCATAAGATAGGAGCTGCTTGGGGGAGCTGAGCCATACCCAGCCCCAGCAGAGGCCCATGGCAGGTGCTGGAAAATTGGAGTCTGGTTGATGCACCACACTGTCTCTTCACAAGCAATAACCAACATAGGTGGACAGGGTGATGGGCTGGTACCTGGAACACCCACTGACTGGTGCCTGGCATTTCCTGTAGGCTTGCATTTGGCTTGTGGATACAAAACTACATGGTATTCTGCAACTTGCTTTTTTTAACTTAACAGTTGATCACTAACATCCCTGCAGGTGACTAGAAAAAGACCCAACTCTATCTTCTTCTTATAATTACTTCATGTATGCACACACACATCTATACAGATTCCTAGATCAGTGGGGTTACATCATTCCTGTCCAGGTGTCTCCTCCCTCCTCCAGGGTCAGCAGAAAGAGTTCACCAACCAAACGCAAAGTATCTACCCTGAACAGAGGTCTTGCCAACCCAACTTCATCCTGGGCTTGGGACTGGGAGCACCAGGTTCTATCATGACTATGGATTATCCCTCTCACCTTTGGCTTGTTTCTCTCCAGCTCCACCCTGCTGCCCTCTCCTTTTGCCCAGCATAACCTCAGAGTTAGCACCCAACTTCTTTAACCAGTTCCACAAAGTAGATTCCACTGGCATTGGTTTCTGAAAGTGATGGAGGAAAAGAACCGGCACCCTGCCCCAAAGAAACAAAAATAAAAACAGCATGACGTCAGTTGCCTTGCCTAAGCAGATGGCCCCTCTTAGCTCTCACCTCTCAGGAACTGGTAGCATTGGACACCAAAAGGGGCTTTAGCTTCAGGGTTGGGCCAACAGGGGATTTGTTCCCAGCTTTATCAGCTCCTCCCTACATGACCCTGGACCAGTCCTTGGTCTCTCTGTTCTTAGTTCCCAGTCCACAGAAATGGAATGAGAGCTCCTCTTCTAACTGTGACAGCAGATGATGCCCAGCACATAGCAGGGACTCAACAAGTGTAAGTCCCCTTCTGTCTCTACTCAAGATGCAAATATCATTATGAGAACTGAAGTCATCCAGTAGGTTCATGTATAACACCAGCCAAGTGATGGCATGCTGGATACCAGATCACAGCAGCTTCTTGAGCAGAAGAACACCTCAGGGGGACCTCCACTCATCCCCAGCAAGAGCAGCTGCCCTGGGTTTCTACTTTACAGTGGATGAATCCTGGACAGAAGTTAAGAACTGTCTACCATATGCCAGGCATTTGCTTGGTATTGTGACAATAACAGGTAGGATTGTTTATTTATTTGTCCAATCATGCAACAACACTTATTATGTGCCAAGCACTGTGCAAGTAGCCAGGGAGATGTCAGTGATCAGACAGACCTGCCCATATCAACCTACTGTTTAGTGGGGAAGAGACTTTTACTAAACTGTGCCCGGAATATGGGGCCGCAGATACTACTAGCTTCCTGTCAATCTGCCCCCTTTGGTTTGTTAGCTGCTTGTTAGTCCACCATGCTGGAAAACACAATTAACACATAGGAAACTAAGCTAAAAAATGCTCAGTTCAACAGAAGCCCTCTATGCCCCACTTCCTACAAAAGGAACCTTCCAAAGTATGGCCCAGGGTGAAGGTTTCTGCTCTGGAGTCTCCTTCTCAGATTCAAATCCCAGCTCTGCCATTTACTCCCTGAGAGACCAT